CCTTTACAAGTATTTTGGCAAGGATGCAGATCAAAGTTTCATTCCAGTAAATCCAAATTTGTATGAACTCTGATGCAAACTAATAAAATATATCTTGTTATTTATGAGCACACTTGATTAAAAACTACAAATTACATTTAAATGTTTAGGAGCAATCTGGATGAAAGCTTCAATATGCAGCCAAAACATCCCTCAGTTTTTACAAGAAAACTGATAACAGATTTTTTTTTTCCCAAAATATTCAAATGAATGAAATGAGTCAACAATAGAACATGAAAGTTTCTTATTACAAACTTAGTCCCAGGTTCCTGGAATTGTCCTGCTCATTTTCCCACACGAGTTTCTCGGAAACATAATTTCTTTCAGATGAACTTTAACCTGAAGAAAGACCATCTGGTCCCTATTTATTTACAAACTCAACCCAAAGGCGTGTACTCAGTTTCATGTATAATCCAAGACTTATCTTGTGGCTAAATATTGCTGGAGATGCTTTTTTATGGAGGGAAATAACGAAGGAAAAAAAAGGAAAATAAAAGCTCAGCTCGTTGAGAGTCCCTCTCAAAACCATTACTGAAGCTAATGGGTCTCTGGCACATATAAATCAGAGCAATATTCATAATTAATTTCTCTCCAGTCCACTGAAGGGCACTGCCAGCATTTATCCACTCCATGTTGTCTTTTAAAATGTGAATGGAACACTCCTCATTCCCATCATTACAGCAAATCCAGTATCTTGCTTTTACCTTTGGCACCATCACACAGAACAATTGTTGTATATCACTTTGAATTGAATTAGAAGGAGAAATGCAATATCAAGGCACTATATAACAAGGGCTCCTTTTGCAGAAATTGAACCAGCCAAACTCTGGTTTGCACAAAAAGCCCTCTTAAAGCACAATTTAGGTGTGACTTTACCCATGTCAATTTAGGAAAATCACTGCAGTATGACCCTCCTTCCTTAAAGGATTTTGTATTTTAAACAAAATTTTAGGAAAATCATAATTAAACCATTCTCAGTCGGTAAGAAATAGTATTCAAGTCATTATTCTGATTACAACCACATTCTATTCTTGAAACACACACAAAAAGCCTTCATGCAGTCTGTGTTACCATGTTATGAGTAGATGGATCACAACCTTTAGGCTTCAACAACCAACGTTTGCTAATGCTGGTGACTTGATCTAAGAGTAGATAATGCCAAAGTGACCCTGTTCCAGGAGCCACTGTGCTCTGTACCCTGCTGCACACGTGAACTCTGTATGTCAAAGATAAATTCTGTTTCAAGAAGCTCTGTCTCTAAGTTAAACATGTGATTAAGTGTTTTATATGGCACAGAGTTTAATAGTTAGGGTACTATTTCAAGTGTGTAGTTGACTCTGAAAACAATTCCAAAATAAACTTTAAAGTGATACAAGAAAGTACATTTTAAAATGTAATCTGGTCCTTAACTTTCAAAGTGACTCCCAGAAGGACTTCCACCATTGCTTCAATAACCACTCTCCCATCTCCAAACCACTTCTAGGATACTGTTCCACCAATAGGAACTTCTGAGACAAGAGAGTCAACATCCAAACTGATAATGCATAAAGCATAATTTTTGTCAAGTAGCAGACTTTCAATTTAGCAGCACCAAAACCTGCCCATGCAAGAACCTGGAAGCCAGTTAGAACAGGAGCTCCAAAACATTTGGAGAATCTACAGACCAACATAAATCACCACAAACTTACAATCTTCAACATCTCATCGAATAAAAAGCAGAGTGAGTAGAGACTTGTTTGTTCTTTTACATTTAGTAGTCTGTTGGAGAATTAAACACCTTACTCAAAAGGGCAAGTTTTAAACTGACAGATTCCATGTCACATGGAATTCCTGAAGAACAGGAAGGAGGAGGCAGCAGAAACCCCCTGATCTCCAGAGCTGCTGCTACAGAACATACATCACCAAACTCTGGAAGCAAAGTTGTTTTTCTCTTCCTGATGACTGAAATGTGATTAAGTCACATTTTAGCATGTGACTTAGTGTTGATAGTTTAAATTTTCCCTTCTTACTGTACAAAAGCTCAAAACTATGCCTCAAACAAAAGACGCTTCTGTGTGAAAAGGTATTACAAGTTTTATCTGCATTCATAAGTTGCTCTGTTTTAGACAAAGCTCTTTTCCAACTCTTTCCAGTCTAAACAGAAGCTTCAAAATTTGTCTCAAGCACTTCATCTACCAATCTGAGTCTCCAACATAAGCCACCACTAAAAAATTCCCACTGCTCTTTCAAAAACCTTTGTCCAGGAAGTTTTATATTTTGTCAAGACAGTTCAAAGCATTCATCCTTCAGGCAACGAGAGACAACCTCTGTCTCTCTCTCTGCTCTGCTACAGTGGCTGTTTGTTTGCCTTAGAGCTTTCCTATTTTAATGTTATTTTTTAACTTGAATCCTTCACTGTAGTGGTACTTAGGATGAGAAGCAAGAAAGAACAGAGACTTACAAAAGGCCTCACACATTAATTACAGTTGCTTTACTAAGAGCCCCCCACCCATGACAGTTCCCTCTCCTATTCCAGTGCCTTTCCCTAGTACCAATACAGTCTTTTTAATAATTCCAGTAAAAGCAGATAAATACATGTATTTTACATTGTCAGCTCTTCATGTCAAGTTTCTATAGAGGCAAAATGTTTTTTTTATGGAAGAGAACTCTGACAGAAAGACTGCTTCATCCTCCCTGTACCCAGACTCCATAAACCCTTCCAAATCCAGTACTACACAAATGCTGTCAAGATAAACCAAGGAATGCTGAATCCTTCCTCTTAGTATTTTCCATTGCCTTGAATTAGACAAAATCTGCATATGCATTCTGCTTTTTCCTAAACACTTATTTGCATGTCACTGGGCAAATGGATCCCTCTGTTTCTTTTATGAGCTGCCCCAGCAAAAGGAGGAGCCAACTGAGCAGTGAGATATCTGCTGGATCTCTGTATTCCCTGGAGAATGTTTTCACTGCATCATAACAGCATTTGCTCGCCAGAGTCCTTTGGGAAACTTGCTGTTTACAATGGAGCAGCCTGGCAAGGCTGCTGTGAGGGCTCACAGGCACAGTGAACACCCAGGAAGAGCTTGTTTTGAAGGAGCTTTCCTGAATTCCACGTGAGTGGGGATGGGCACGGCCACGCAGTTCCAAAACTGACACTCCTCCAGTCCCCACCCACTACAAACCTCGGGGATGAAGTGAAAACACAGATCCTGCTGGCTGAGAGAGACTGAATACAGCACAGCAGCAAATACAGGGGTATCCTTTTGCACTACCCTCATCTGGGCACAGAATTAAGAAAGAAGGTAGCCAGGAAACAAGAAAATTCTGTGGCTCATCTGGATCTCACAGGCTCGATTTTGGTTCAAAAAACATAGTGTAATTCTTAAAATACAGCATAAACATATATATGATAATCCACAACATTCAAATATTCTGTACATTAATTTTTTTTTTGCATTACAGACTATGTATCAGAAGAGAATTCATTAATAAAAAGTTTCTAATCTGAGCACATACAATACTTCATTTTTTCTTCTTTCTTAGTTCATTTCACTGCATGTCCCATTGCTGCCTAAAGATAGACTGTGCTGGGGGAATACTGCTAATTAGTGCTTTGGATATAAACAGTTAACTACCAGAAAGCACAGCAAGCAGTTCCCTGTGATCCTGTTCAGAAGAGGTCTCTAGTCCCCTTCTTGATTCTGGATGAGAACATTAGCAGTTTACACCCAGAGATCTACCAAATCACTCTTTGACCTTAATTAAAGGGCTAAAATATGTTCTCTCAGCTGGTTACCACTGTCTTTGTGCATCAAAAACCAATAGTGATAAAGATGATAGACTAGATATTATATCCACTTCATTATTTCTAGAAGCATCCTTCTGAGTATTGTGAGGAATTCACAATGTTTGTGAAACCAGCTGCATGCAAATATGAGCCTATGCTAAATTCTCATTATTAAAAATATCCAGAAAACATGTGAGATTCATTTCATTTTTATAAGATTATCAGCCTGACCAAACCATGGACAAAACATCTCAATCCTGCATCTACTGATCTAGTTACATCCATCTATCAACCAAAATTTAGATGCAGACAAAAAACCTCATTAAAAATAAATTAGGATCTGCCAAGAGGAAACAAAGCCATCAGGACTAAAGCAATACTCTAGAAAACAAAATGAGCACTGAGAGCAGCAAAATTCCACATCTCCTGCAGCAGGTCTTGTTTAATACCAATACACTGTATGTTTTACCCAATACCAGGGTGCTCACTGAAAAATAGCTTTCTAAATGTGGCAACTATCACCACAAGTCTTGAGGATACTAAATGTAGTGATGGGAGAAAAAAAGTATTTGCAACTTTTAGCTACAAAGAAACCAATCTAATGAGATCAAAAGTGCAGTCAGTACTTTCTACAATAATTCATGTAACTGCTGAAAATTCTACAAAGAGTTGCCCCCAGTCCAAAAAACCCAAACAAAACAGCACCAGATGCTCTTTAAAAGTACAGGGATCAAAACATAACCTGAAAATACAAGCAGTTTAAGCACACAGAGCAGACACTGATAAAACACAAGCCCTGTGCATTCAGGAAGAAAATACAACCAAACAAAAGCCCCAAAATCCCAAAGCAAAAGCAAACACCCTTTTAAAAAGTGAAATTATAACCAAATATTTGAAAAAAAACGAGAATTCTAAGGTAGTTCTTGCAAAATCAAACTGCCTCTGAGAATAAAAATATTCCTTTTTACATCTACTTAGAAACACTTTTTTATTAAAAAAGGCCACGGAGAATAACTGCAGGCCACCACAGAACAGACCTTTTACAAGTCCCATTTCAATATGGATAGTCAGATTAAAAACCCCACTTTACAGTATTGGATGTGAATGCAATTGTATATATGGACCTGTATCTATAGATCTACCTGTGGAGGGCACATGTGACCCCCCTGCTTGTAAAGCTGAAGAAACTCACCTTGTGACAAACTTCTGATTTAATTTCTTTGAGGGCACGTTCAGAGAACACACAGCCACAGTTTCTCAGGAAGCAAAACCTTCAAAGAAAAGACAAGACACAGCATGATTTTAAGAAACCCTGTGCCCAAGAGAGACCTGTGCAGTGCTGGTTGAACACAGAAATAATACTGCAATGGGTTAGCAGGACACAACTAACTTTATTTACTAGTTCTTGCATCTAATATAACTATCAGTACCTTTAAAGGGGCAATTAATTTATTATTAGTTTGTACAATGTAAGACTAGAACAAAAAATATTGTGTACATTAAACCACAACATTTATTTTGTTATTTCATCCTCACAATCTCCTGGTTAATCACTGTCTGGAGGAAGAAATACTTAGCAACTGTCAAGCTGGGAACCACCATCATCTCACTCATCAGGGTGAACATGCACAGACAAAGAAACTGCCCAAAGCAGGATGTGAGGAAATGCTCTGCCCCAGCCCAATAAAACCCAGATTACTGCAGGATTAGGACACAGAAGCCACCTCCACTCTGGTCCTAACACAGGCAGAGGGAGAATGGAGCAGCTCTGCTGTGAGGAAAGGCTGAGAGAATTGGGATTGTTCAGCCTGGCTCTGAGGTGACCTAATTGTGGCCTTCAAGTGCCTGAAGAAACTACAGGAAAGATGGAGAGAGACTGTTTACAGGGGCCTGAAGTGACAGGACCAGAGGGAATGGCTTCACACTGACAGAGAGCAGGGTTAGACGGAATATTGGGGAGAAATTGTTCCCTGTGAGGGTGGGGAGGCCCTGGCACAGGTTGCCCAGAGAAGCTGTGGCTGCCCCATCCCTGGAAGTGTCCAAGGCTGGGTTGGATGGGGTTTGGAGCAACCTGGGATGGTGGAAGGTGTCTCTGCTCATGGCAGGGGTTGGAATGAGATGATCTTTAAGGTCCCTTCCAACCCAAACCATTTTGGGATTCTAAGTTAGATGTGACACAAAGGGAGGTCTTATCAATCTCCTGTGGTTTGGCCTCCAAACATTGCCCTCTACTCCTTTATTATACATCTAAATTCAGTTAGAAAAGGGTTAGCTTTTATCTTTCTTCTTGAACATGCAATGAAAGGACACTCAGTGGTCTCTTAAACTCCCTTCTGAAAGAGAGACAAACATTTCCCCACAAAGGCCTGGGCAGGTACAAGATTTGCAGCATTATCCATTCAAATATCTGCTCTGTGTTCAGTTCAGCCCAGTGCTCACTTCTAAACCCAAAATGCAGACCCTGAAACACTGACCTATGTCTCCCATTCATCTCCAGCCCCACGACAGGGCAGATAAATCGTGCAGACTGCAGGTCATCGTACTTGTCACCTTTTATACTCTCCTTATCCCCACTCCAGGCTGGATTATCCACAAGGTTCAGTTCTGTCACGTTCTGAAAAATAAAAATGCAGGCCTTGAGCTTTTAACCAATGATTTGGAGCCATGATAACATTCCTTAAGATATTTTTGTGTTGTGTTTTGGTACTTTTAACACTTTAATACAGGGTGAGAACACAAGCAGATGGAGGTCTTACAGCATGACTGAACTTTCCCTCATGATTTTAACTTTTACCTTGATGCTCTTGATGTGGGATGCAGATTCCATGGGGGTCTTATCAGGTGACTTGTCCAGCAAAAACTCAATGATGGCATCTTTGTTGTACAACCTGTGACATCGAAATTCCAGCGATCACGTTTGATTGCCATGGCATTTGTATTTATAAATTTATCTATAAATTATTTTTACAATATTTATATTATTTATAATAATGACCATATTTAATGATCATTATTTTTTCCCCCTGTGGAACCACCCCTACCTGCCCAGCTCACAGGCCACGATGGGTCGACGCAGCTTCTCCTGGCTCAGGGCACAGTAGAACCACCTGGCCACCAACTCAGCAACTTTGTCGACCTGAAGGAATGAAAAAAAACAACAAACCCTCATTATTTTAAAACAGCTTTTATATTTGCAAATTATTTAAGCATAAAATCAGGTAATACTCAAAGCATTAGTGAGATCCTCAGGTTTCTTACCAAACCTACCTTCTGCACTGTTAATTAATTCATAAAACAACTTTAGCAAGGCTGTTTAGCAACATTCATGATCAGGTTTGAGGCTCTGCCTCTGCCTACTGACCCCATTTCTGCATCATGGAACATGAGACCTCTCTGCCTAAATCTAACTCAGTTTTTATATTTTTGTCACTTTCACCAGTCCCCTCTTGATGCTTTTTTTACTCTTCACATGTTCTCCACCACCCTCTTCTCTCTGGTTCTACATCTCAGCCCTGTTTGGGTCAACTATTGCTTCCACTCCCTGGAAGGAATGAGGTGAGGAAGAAATCCTTCCCTGTGAGGGTGGGGAGGCCCTGGCACAGGTGCCCAGAGAAGCTGTGGATGCCCCATCCCTTCAGGAGACCCTTGAACCCCTTGTATTCTGCAGATGGCAAATCCCAGAACTACTGAGGTTGGAAAAGCCCTCCCAGCCCATGGAGTCCCAGCTGTGCCCGATGCCCACCTTGGGACCCAGCCCAGAGCACTGAGTGCCACGTCCAGTCATTCCTTGGACCCTCCAGGGATGGGGACTCCAGCCCCTCCCTGGGTAGCCTCTGCCAAGGCCTGAACACTCTTTCTGTGCAGAAATCCCTCCTGATATCCAGCCTGAACCTCTCCTGGCACAGCTTGAGGCCGTTCCCTCTCCTCCTGTCCCTTGTTCCCTGGGAGCAGAGCCCGACCTCCACCGGCTCCCTGCTCCTGTCAGGGAGTTGGGGAGAGTGAGAAGGTCCCCCCTGA